TGTGACGAACCCTCCCTCCCCCTGCCCCCGCGCTCCTCGCGGCTGCGGTTGCTGTGGAGGTAGTAGCGGGCTGCCGCCGCTACCGTCGTGACGTCACGGGTGCCTTGGGCGCTGCTGCGGTGGTTGTGGGGTGGTAGTAGCAGTATCCTGCAGTAAGTCTACTACTGCCTCCACAGCTAACGAGAGCTGCATCCGAGACGCTCGTGACGTCACTGCTGTAGTGGTGGTAGTCTGCTACTACATCCACAGTTACCGCAGCGTAGAGCTAGGTCTATGAAATAATGTAAAATGTTGGATAGTATTTTAATTCTTTATTGTTTCTAACATTATAAACTTAAGTCTTCCTCAAGTAGCTGGCTTGTTTCTGCTGGTGACTTGGGGCAAATCTGAATACCTGAAAAAGAATGAAAAAATATAAGTAAATTCAAATTATCTCAGAGTTCAACACAAACGTGTTCTGGTCCATCTGTATCACGGTGACGCCAACTCATCGAATGAACTTCTATGTTACAGGTGGCCAGCTGTAAGTCCAGGCACATCACTTTGGACAAGAGCCAGCATCACTTCCTATTTTACTACGACTGTACCAGACAAATGAAATAAATAACAGTATTACTATAACTGACTCTCTGATTATTTGCCTCTCTCACTTCCCTTCACTAAAATCAACACACAACTACATATTTTATGATCAAGTAATAAGCGGTGTATGTGGAGGTAGCATAGAGACAGTAAAGATATAACAAGAAGTAACCCCCTAATAGAAACAAATACCAAAATAAACTTTTACCCATCATGACTCTACCATAATGTATTGATATTTTTTTGTTAACATTACATAAAAAGTCAAAACTTACCAGATTCATTCCTGTGATCATGAGAAAAAGGGGCCATTTCTCATGCTGTGTGCTGTGACGCCCACTCAGCATACATTGGGTGACAGCTGACGGCTGCGTTGCTGATATGTCAAGCGCAGATGCAACTCATGGACGGTCTTCCTGCAACAAGGGTAAAAACAGAATTTTGGTCAACATATATCATGGTTACACCAACTCCTCTACAGGGAGCTTCAGAACATTAACTTGCCATGCTTCAAAAGCATTGCCTAGGACAAACAATGTCAACTCAATGTCAAACGTTCACAGGTGGAAAACATAAATATTCATGCACTTTTCACTCTGTTTCCATATTATTTACATTGCATTTTTATCAATTATTAAAGGACTAAAGAGAAAAAGAGCATTCAGTTGGCATGAGCTGGAATATTTCTGCCTGTCTTTGAGCATAAAAAAGTGCAAAGTCAATGAGGAGATGATATGAACATAAACACATCATAATTAATTTTTGTAGATTTCATGAAAATAAATAGAGTAAAACTTTTTTGTAAGCCCTCATTTCTTCCAGTCCTGCTTCATGGTATCCTCCATTCTCTTTCGCAATCCTTGGTGCAGCAGAAAGGTTAAAGACATGAGGGATCTCAGGGGCTTCAAAATTTATTCTGAATGTAAACAAAAAAATTAGAATCCCACTTGAAGAACTCAAAAATTTTGGGGGCTATATCTGAGATTTATAGCAGTTATTCCCTAAGGACAGAAAATGAGCAAACTGGCGCTCTTTTCTATTTTAAAAACATCCTCACATTACTACTGAGTATTATTTCCCTCCGTACCGGCAGGAGGAGAGTCATGAGCTAGAGCTGTTAGGGTGACGAAATGAGGAGCGGGGGGCTACAATTACTCTCAATGGCCTTAGTTACATTCACTGCACCAACTTGATGAAAAATATCAATCAAGTTTTCATTTGAGTCCATTTGAGGCTTTCAAAACTCGTTCTTTACCAGCCCACTTCACCTTCTTGGTGGTAGGAAGAACAAGTATTGATCTCAATGCGGTGTCACCCTTTATGAACTGTTTGTACTTTCATCTAGGACCACATAACACCTACAGATATAATAGTAGTACGATTGTAGAGCGAAGACGCTGGTCTTAAATAAAACAAGAAACTTTTATTCAGGTTAATGGTATCATTTTGAGCACTCATATTTTGCGGGTTTTCATTCTCTCTAGATTCAACATCTTTAGTTAGACACCAAATACCAAAAGCCCGATTACAGTAAACAGAAGAAATTTAAGACATTCGTTTAAATATGTGCCTCAAAAAAGTTTGGCAAAGGTAGTAAATTCAAAATGAGGTTATGTAGATAAGTGTGTGAATGAGACTTATCACGTTTGCGTTCTTACACGTTTACGCATAGAGGTGTCTCTATGACACTATATTGAGAAATCTATAATTTTACCTCCGCAACCTCCGCGAAGTCGAAAACCACAAGCCAACGAACTCTTCACGCAACAAACAACACCACTGTTGCTCGTAGTAGTCTCGTTGCAGGGTATGGGTATGTGCTTGCGTCCACTTCCAGGGGGTATCGCCGCTCAGGCGCTGAAGGTAGGCCACTATCTCCACACAGACATTTGGCGGGAAGGCCTACCCGAAGCGCCGCAGGCGTTGTCATTCGGAAACGAAAAAAAGGGCTTTTGGACTTGCCTTAACCAACAATGTTTCTATGAAACAAATTTAATGGAAGTTACAGAGATTAATCTGGCTGAGTAATTTTTTATTGTCAAATATTGGAGCATATGGCACACAATAGATAGATCGCGCAGTGCGGGTTTCGAGAAAAAGTAAGGAAGTGTGAACCGAAACCAGTACCTTAAGTTCACTGTTTTTTTTTTTAAATTATCAGTGCACTTCGACGTAAATGACCTAACGTAACACCCTTTTTTAGTCTTGTTAAATACAAGATTATCAATATTTTTGTTGTAAAGTTTAGAAACTACCTTTGGTTCCGTTGAAAACCACCCCTTTCCAGAGAAACTTGAGTTTTAAGGGTTATCTTTTGATTCTGGCGGTCAGCGTACGATGGGCTGCCTACCTCGCAGACGAACCGGTCCAAAAACAGGCGTATCTCACTTAAAATGGCCCGGCGACGCGAAACTTCGACGCAGCGATTGAAAACGGATTCAGTCTGACCAATCCCAACTAATTCCAGCGATTTTAATTTTTGTCATTTTTGGCCAAATTTACAAAGGGGGCCGGTTTTTGACGGAGGAGTGCTCGAATAGATAGGGGTGAACCAGGGACCACAAAACTACCTTTGCTTCTGTCAGACACCACTCCTGTTACAGAAACTTGAGTTTTAAGAGCTGGTCTCTCTAACTATGGGCGGGTAGGCGGGTAGGCTACCTAAGGCACACTGGCTAAGAACTCTGCTGTAGTGGGTCGGCACCATGATATTTAAACAGGGCAATTGAAAAGGGAGTTTACCCGACCAATCCAAACCAATTCCAGTAATTTTCCCAACTGTCAAGTTCCTGAATATTGAAATCTAGAAACTTTAAATGAATAAGAAAGCAAAACCATATAAAAGTTCAACAATGTCATCTCACCTTTTCTTTTGGGTAAAATGACTCCATAGACTTCTCTTGCTCATGTCAAGAACATTTCTGGGTTGAGTTCCTGCAATCATATTAAACGGTACTTTTAGTGCTCATCAATTATTAATTACATTTTAATTACTCATACAATACAAGTTTAAATGCCTCTCCCCCATACGTCTCTAAATGTCCATGGTCTTTCAAATAAATAATTTGGCACTGGACTCAAGCATTAGGTACGAAGGGGCAGCTGCAAATTAGCTGCAACGCACAATGATTGATTGTTTGGGGGATTACGCAAATAGTACCACTCGGTTTGTACCCCAACCAGAAAGTAATAAAGTTTTGTGTTCCACGAGAATAATATAGAGTAAAATATATGATACACGATAAAACACTGACAGTGACCTGCAACAGTATTCAACATACTGTAAGGAATGGAGAAGTGTACCCATTCAACACTTTTTCAACAAAGCTTACAGTGAGCCAAGTTTACATCACGGGCATCATTTACTCGGCCTCAAAAAAAATAACTGACAACTTGTGCACTGGAGCACACTAACCTCTTACATTACCGGTACAGCAATAATCGGAATGGAACAATTCAATATTCCGAACCGGAAACAATCAAGCACTATACCTTGCGATTAATATCGAAAAGCGGCGATGTCCACCACAAAATTCTGATTAATATCCTATGATCAATCAAATGAGTAGGTATTATCGGTATTGGGCAGAAGACACCGATCTTGACTGTTTGTTTACGTTTCCATAAAGGCGCGGGAAATGCGGGGTGGGGAGGAGGAGAGGGGTAGGGGACGCAGCACGGCAAAGGGGGAGAGCAAAAATTACGGCAGAAGTTCTGATCAGACGATGACACTCACCGACATATCGTGGTCACGGGATGTGATTCTGTAAGGCTCCCGACCCATGCAACATGTGGCCGCAGCTCTATGGGGAACCTCAGGGAGTTGTGGCCGAGGACGCCTGGGGTAGGCAATCCCGTCTCGCTTGTCCGGGATGTGGATGTGATCCTTTGCGGATGTCTCCCGCCCGCCCCGTGCATCGTCGTGTGGCTGCAGGGGGCAACACCAGGGAAGTGCTGCAGCTGTGACAATAATGAAATGATCAGGATAATTAAAAACTATTATGGGCGATTTGCTATTAATAAAA